ATAGATTTATTTATAAAACAGAAACAGACTCACAGACATAGAAAACCTAGGGTTACCAAAGGGGAAAGGGGGTGGGGAGGGATAAATTAGCAGTTTGGGATTAACAGATACACGCTACTATATATAAAACAGATAAACAACAAGGATTGACTGTACAACACAGGGAACTATATTCAGTATCTTATAATAACCTATAATGGAAAAGAATCTGAAAAAAAAACGTATAACTGAATCACTTTGCTGTACACCTGACACATTATTGTAAATCGACCACATCAATTAAAAAAATAAAAGTGTAGTAAACAAAACAAAACAAAACAAAATGTGCCCAATTAAATCTAGTAACTTTACTGTGACATTCTAAGGGAAGTTCAGGGACCAGATGATCAGAATGATGAGATGCTCTGAGAAAATTCCGTAACTAGATGGGATGCAGTATCTTGGGCTGAATTTCATAGATGCATTAAAAAAGCTCTATAAGCTCCCCACACACCCGTAAAATATGAAGAAATATTTGTTCCTTTCATTACTCTTAAGATACTGGCCTCTCCCAGCTTCAGTTAAAAGCAGTTGACATCTGTTGGGTATTTTCTCCATCATTAAACTTCCTGAGCTTTTGGATACTCAACATCCTCCACCCTTTTCAGTCTAGATATAACTTTATCTTTCCTACACAGGTCCAGTTAGTGGACCTTAGTATCATTTTTGGGGAGGCATGGTATGTGTAGACATACATGTAGGGGTGACTGAAAGCACTTATCTGTGGAATGGAATACTATTCAGCTACGAGAAAGCAGGAAATCCTGCCATTTGTGACAACATGGATGGACAGAGAAAGACAAACAGTGTATGATCTCACTTGTATGTGGAATCTAAAAGAGCCTGACTCACAGACACAGAGATTACACGGTGGCTACCAGGGCCTGGGGGTTGAGGAATTGCAGTTAGAAGGTGAGTAAGTCCTGGAGAGTGAAAGCTCCCCATAGTGATTACAGTCAACAGCACTGTGTTATAAACTTCAAAGCTGCTAAGAGACTAGACCTTACATGTTCTCACCACCAAAAAGAAATGATAATTATGGGATGCGATAGAGATGTTAGCTAAGACGGCAGAGGTAACCAGACGGCAGTACACACACGCAGCACAGCAACACATTGCACAATGCGAACTCCAATCATACCTCAATTTAAAAAAAAGCTTTAGCTGAACACACACATCAGCTTTGATCACAACAAGCTTTCAGGTTAAAGCCCTCAACTTAATAAAACTAGGGTGTAAGTAGAATAGTAAGTCAATCAGGAAAGGATCAGGCGCTGTTACCTATTCTGCGTTAGAAGCAGGTGCCCTCCACGCGGGCCTCCTAGGTCATATTCGGGGTTTTGTTACTTTTCCTAACAAGAGCGGTTAAGCAGGGCAATCCCAGGATTTTACCTAGGTTTTGAAAGATTACTTCAGCTGTTGGATTGGGGGTGAATTCAAGGAGATAGGGCTTGAAGTGGGGAGACCAGTTGGGGGCAACTGCAGCATGCGTTCTTAGAATAGATAACAGTTGCATATGTAAACACACACACACACACACACACACACACACACACACCCCTATCTAATGTACCCATCTGCTTATTAAACACGTACACATTATATAGCCAATTGTGTTGTCCACCAAAGTGCATAGGGCCAGTCCAGCCTCCCCTCGCACTGGAATCAGACTTACATTTCTCTCGCTCCTGTTTGTGGGCCGGTGTCCTTCCCAAGCTGTGCCCCGTGGGTGGAGGCACAGCTCCCCAGCCTGCTCCGGTCTAGACTCGGCAGGAACCAGGGCTGACCCAGATGAATGCAGAGGCAGGCCACGGCTGATGCCCGGCGGGAGGGCGGCACAGGAAACGGAGGGGAAGGCCGCCCTTTCCTCCTCTCAGAGCGTCAGCGGCCATGTGGCTTCCTCTCTGTCCGACCCCTGGTTTATGGTTCATGCTCTGCGGGCTCCTCAGCCCCAGCACGGCCCTCCAGTCCCCCAGGGGCCCCGGACGCACACGCAGAAAGGCCTGCTCCTGCCCCTGTCTTCCCGCTTACGGAAAATCCACCTCCTCCCCAGCTGCACGGACCGGCAGGGGGACGCGAGCGCGCACAACGCAGCAAAACGTGGTAGAAACGCGGCGGCCGGTGTGCAACAGGCAGACACCTGCTTCACGGAGTGGAGGCAAGGCTCACGCTTTCTGAAGAAATGGGCATCTTCCTGAATCCCCCTGCTCTGGCGGAGATGCTCCGGAGCGCCTGACCGTAGGGACAGCGGAGTCAGCCCCCCTCGCGGACCACCGCTGCTCAGGGACCCAGCTGCGTTATCCCGCATGCGCGGTCCCCACGTGTCGTTATATACGCGTGAGGCGTGCTGCGCAAGCGCAGAGGGCAGCCCGGAGGTCCGCGCTGGAGAGGTGCCGGCTTTGTAAGCCTTGGTGTATGAGGCGGAGGGGACTTTCCCCCGCGGCTGCCACTGAAGCCCGTGTAGTCCTTCCCGCCATAAAGGCGTGTCAGAGACCCCCACGGCTCTGCGAGTGTTCGTCCTTCAGTCTGCCCGAATCCAAGTGCACCGGCCAGGTCTTGAGCGCTTGCAACACAGTGACAACGAGCCCTGGGCTCACGGGCCGTCTCTCCCGGCCGGGATCGGGCGGGAGGGGCGGCTTGCTGCTGCCTGGCCAGGCTGCCCCTTGAGCTTCAGGCAGGGGCTTGTCCGAGAAGCTCTTCGCCGCGGACATTTCCACCTGATGCCTCATTATGCTCCGGTGGCCAGAGGAGCACTGTTCATGCAGGACTCAGTGGTTTGCCCGTCTCTGATTTAAGTCTCTGGGGTCAACCATCCCAAGATTCTGGAGGCAAAACCTATAAGGTCAGGCTGAACTTGCAATGTGAGCCCCACCCAGATGAATGCAGGTCCTGGGACGTGGACCGTGGGATGAGAAAAAGCCTCACTGCCTGGTAACCTTTGCTTTGAGGTGTGATGCTTACTAAGGCTAAATTACTTTTGTAGATATTTACCTACGTTACATTTTAATGTTTCAGAAGCTGACAGTGCGAGGGGGTGGAGTTTCCCACGAGGGTCTAGACTTAGGGGTACCAGTGGGTGGCGGCTTGCCCTCGTCCTCCAGGCCCAAGCCACAAGCATCTGACATACTGATGCCCTCGACCCTGGGGGGGACTGGGCAGGGTCTGGGTGGCTACCTCCAGACAGGCTGCCTCATCCCGGTACCCCATCGTGCTCAAGAGTCTGGCCTTTCTCTGCTTAGCCTGCCGTGAAGAGGATTCGCACACGTGTTTCCAGGCCATACAGACAAGCATGCCTACCTCTGAGGGATCTGAGGTTCCCCCGGGGAGGACCTCTCTGAGCCAGATTCTCAGGACCCTCAGCTTTCCGCACCTGCTGACGTCTGCCTTGGACCTTCCAGTGGACAATTCCCTCCACATCCGCATGCTCTGGTGACTTCGTTCTCTGCTTTGTACTCTGTGCCTGCCTCCAGGAGCAGGTGTGCCCTGGGGTCTGAGGTCATCCTGCTCTGCACAATGGTTGCTTTTAGGAGGCCTGAATTAGGAACAGCTCAGATATTTAGAAAGGTCCCTGGGAATATATTTCTAGTAACAGCAAGCTTGAGTGACCAAGAGCAGGGAGAACATTCCATGAAAAACGAGGCATTCCTTTCCCAGCTTCTCTGCCTCTAGCCCGATGGTTCTCTCACTGTCAGCTCCCAAGCCAGGGTGAGCGATGGGGTCTCCTCCAGACTGCATTTTATGGCGTATTGTTGCTTTATTACCACCTCCTTGCCTCCAAGAACTATGCATTTGTTTGTTTAATAAGTTTTCTGGGCTTTGCATAAAGAATAATAACACTTTGGAGCTAGGATGAATCTCATCCGAGTTCCTAAAGTGTCACTACATTACAGGTGAAGCAACTGAGGCCCCGAGGGTGAAGAGACTCGCTCGAGGTCACCTGCTTTATTTGCTGCTCCTGGGGTGGGGGTTGGGGTGGGGTTGGGGGCGATCATCGCCGCCCAGAAGCTCGATGCAGACATCACCCCAGCAGGACTGGATCTCAAGCTCTACATTTTGAATTTAGACAAAGGTGATGGGTCGGTGTTCCATTTTTGCTGAACTGTCATTTCTTGTAGAGAGTTTTTGAGAAAGTGTATTAAAAGATTCCTGGTCTTTATTGCACACACCTCACTGGAGCGGATAGAAATTAATTTGAAAAATAATAAATAGACTCAATGCCGAATGTGACTTGGGGACAAATGACCTCCCCTCCCCCAGTCCCACCTTTGCTGTAACAAGAGCTTCCACCTGCCCACCTGCTGCTGTGCAAGACACTCTGCAAGTATGTCCAACCCTTCCCCTAACTCTATTAGGCAGAAATTGCTATTTCCATTTTAAAGAAGAGAAAACTGAGGCTCCCAAAGGTTCCATGGCTTGCCCCAAATCACACAGCTGGGACAGTGGTAGAATTCTATCTGTCTGATTCCATGGCTACACTCTTTCCACTTGATGATACATTTCCACAGCACAGACTGCCAGTGTATCTTGAATATACTTACACTAGATTTTTAGCTGCTTGAGATGATCTGTGTTTTAAACTGAGATCAGCTTCATACTTAAGCTTCATACCTTTTGCAGGTGTGTCTTAGGAGCATACGGTGTAACTGTGAAAACCTGTTTGGAAGCTGTGTGAGATCAATGCCATCATCTGAGTACATCTGTCATTTAAATAATTTTTCTTAAAGCCCAAAAGGACCTTCAGAACTACCTAGTCCACCACTTAATTTCATAGATGAGGAAAGCAAAGTGGAGAACCCAATGACTTGGCCACAGCCTCAGAGCTGGTGAGACCCAGAGCTGGGCCCAGAACCTGCCCCCGGCCACGTGGTGAAGACATCACTGCACCCCAGGGCTCCGTTAAAGCCATTGCCTCTCTGCTTGGTGCAGAGGACCCGTATCGGGGAGGTCAAATCCTCGTCTACCTGCAGAACTCTCCTTCCGATTCCGGCAGCAGGAGCGAGGCCATGGGGTTCTTCATCAGATCGGCCACCACGGGGTCCTTGGGTGTCACATAGAAGAAGGGGATTCCAGTGCTGTTGTCCAAGGGGCCATCACTGATGGGCAGACAGCTCCCAAACGGCAGTCCTGGGATCTATCAAACACCAGAAAGGCCTTTCAGTGCAGGGTTGTGGATTGACTTGAGCTGGGAGCTTATTAGTCTGTGTCTCTGACCAGGAAACAGAGTACTGGGAATGCAAAGGCAGTGTGCGATCACCGTGGTTTTGACAGGTCATAAATTAAGGCAGAGTGATTTCTAATATACCCACTTCACCCAGTGATGCTCCAGATCTTCTATAGAAGAGCTCAGCAGTGGCTTTCTGTAGAGGAAGGATGGTTAGTGGATTATTCTTAAAGCTTCAGGTACATAATACTTACTTTATTAAACTGAAAGTTACTTGAGGGAGAGCCAGTGATACTTACAGAGGGGTGGAGGGGCACTAAATCCTTTCCCACAAGCTGCCCCTGGAAGCCCCACTGCCTTCACCACCTCCCCGCAATTTTTGGCATCTTTGGAGATAGAATTTAAGTCTTAACCCAATATCTTACCTGGTCTCTGGACTCCAGGAACTTTATTATTTCCTTTAGGGTCACACCATTTTCTTATTTATTAGTCACATTTAAAAAATTATAACCAATAATACTTCATCATATAATTCAGCAACTTATGGGAAATTGGTTTCTTACCCTTTTAGCCTCAAGGAAGACCCAGAAACATGCTAAACCAATTTTTTGCTCATGATTATCCAATAGAGTGGGTGAAATTCTCAGCACATACACAAAAATTTCTTTGTTTTTTCCCAAGCCCTGCTGGATCAAGCATCCTGTCTTCACGACCTTTGCCCTTTACAGGAGTGTTCCTCATCATTACTTAGCTCAGAACTCACGGGGCTGCCTTTGCCTTTGAAGTGCTGCATGACAACTGTGTGTGGACAACTGTGATGAGGGATGGCTTTAATCTTTAAAGAAAATCCGGTATTAAGAAGTCCTCCAAAATGGTAATAGAAATTCACTCTTGGATCCTGTTCTTCAGCTGGTCGTAAACTGGGGAGAGTCATGCTTTGCACACATGCCAGCCACGTGGTAAATGTCCTCTGGATTTATTGAACTTGGATTAAGTGTCAATATTGGAAAAGGGAACTACTAACAAAGCCAAGAAAAGGGATGTTGAAAGCCAAAATGACTTGGATAAATTGGCACTAGACTTAATTGCTTGACGCGATCTGTGTTTTAAACCAAGATCAGCATCATATTTAAGCTCGTACCTTCTACAGGTGTGACTTTGGAGCACAACTGTGAAAAACCATTTGGAAGCTGTGTAAGAGGTTAAAATCATTGCCATTATCTGATTAAAGTTGTCATTTAAATAATTTTTTTAAAGCCAAAAAGGACCTTCAAAACTACCTAGGCTACCACTTAATTTCATAAATGAAGAAAGCAAAGTGGAGAACTCAGTGACTTGGCCATGGTCTCAGAGCTGGTGAAACCCAAGAGCTGGGCCCAGAAACTGACCCCCACCCCCAGCCCACCCCCCCACCGCTGCACCAACGACCTACACATTCCATAAAACAGTAATTTTTTTTTTGGCATGAAGTAAATAGGAGTTCAGGTTACTGCCCTGTAACGAAAACTTCGCATCTTGACAGCCCTAAAAGCTTTCTGGAGGGTGTACGCTTATGGATGTTACAGCCTCATCCCGTAACCATGTCATTTCGGCTTAAGCTGGAATCATGTCTAACAGGTGAGTGAGACATCTGTGAACTGAAAGATAAAAGCTGCAACGATGACAGCGCTGTCACTCCAACATTTACGCAACGCAGCCTCCTTTCCAGAACAATTCTCGAATTCCATTTTTTAAAATGTGAATTTCCACCAGAGCCCCGGTAATGTCTTTGGCCCAGTCCCTGCTGGGGTTCAGGGTCAGTAGGTTACGGGGCAGTTCGGGTCTGTGGGCGGGGAGGGGCTGTACGCGCTGCTTAGTGAGGCCAAAGGCGGCTCTGCCTTCTCCAGTCCAGGTCTCTGGTCAGGCGCTGGTTATCTGCACGCCTCTTTGGCCATCTCAAGATTGCGCTTCTCAAGACTGCACTTCGGTCCCCATCCTCCAGGCAGGAAGCCTGGTTGTTGCCACTCCCCACCCCCGACCGCCACCTTGGCCAGGCTAACCGAAGCACAATATGGTTCCATTATACACTGAGTGTCCACGGCGGATCCAGCCCCTGGAGCATGTCTGCCAGACCTGGATCCGAGTGCGGGAGTGGCCCGAGCCACTCCCTGTCCCCCTGGCTGTGCCAGGCCACTACAGGGCACGCACCTGCACGCCGTTCCAGGCAGGGTGGCTTACCTTCTCGGTGGGCGGACAGGGTGGCCAGACAGCCCCAGGCGCTGGCGTGGGCCAGGAAACGGGCGGTGCCCGGGCGCAGCCTCGCTCCGCTCTCGCGCCGGTA